TGTTAACAAAAACAGTGGTTTACATGTGCATATATGCCAGATTCATTAGGCAGGTAATGAAGCATTTGCACAAATGTAATTACATACGGCAATTCTGACAGTTCATAGCACTGCATTAATAATCACTACAATTAGTTCTGATGATGGAAGCAATTTACAGTGCGTCACATGTATAAATAATGGAGCATTTCCTGCATATGTCATTATTATGTATTAAGGATGCCACCTTGTTGTGACTTTCTCAGTAACATTCCCCTTGATTTGAAGTTAAAGGCAGATGAATGATTTTATTTTGTAGCTAAAATGTGTTTGCGGGTGGGAGTGGGAATGCCTCATCAACAACAGTTGTGTAAACTCTTATAAACATGATGGCTGGATCTCAGAAAGGAAGAACCATTGGTTCCTAACTTGTTCTGGCTTAATCCTTGCGAAGGAAACCTTTCCCATTAAGTCAGATCGTTAAGGGTGGGATGGAGTTATCAATCCCAACATGTTCCAGGCTTTCTCTAAAGGTCCTTGACGGGTTTCTGCCCATGTGGAACTCTGCCAGGTCATTATGGCAGGTGATCCAATGTGGTGTTGGATCCCAAAACAATAATGTGTCACTCCCAGACCAACTTCCATGTTCTTCTTCTAGTCTCAAAATACTCTGTGTGTCCTTTTCATGCACAAGCCAAAGAGCCTCCAATCCTCTCTTGACAGAATGCTTTGCCCGCTCACGTGAACTCCTCCTCTAGGCCAACCCAATGAACACCCCACTCCCAGCTTCCTCCTCCAAGATTCCCTGCTTCTCTTTAAGTAGCCCTTCTGCACAAGCCGTAAAACCTCCTCTGTTCCTCTTCTGTCTTTGATTTACATCTAAGGAAAAACCTTACAGACCTTTATCATCCCCTTCCTTGTATCTAAGGAGACATGGTTCTTAGATGTTCTTTTTATAGCCACTGTTACAGTTTTTGTTCATGTTTTCTCTTCAGGGTGATCCAGCTGCTATTAAAATACACGTGGCCAATCATATGGGAGTGTTCTCCCAAGGAACAGATTTTGAATCAGTTGTTTCCAAAATAAATTGTTTTAATATAGTTTGTGATGATCAATATTCCCAATCTTCATTTATTTAAATTTTTTTTTTTAACATTTATTTAGTGTGTGTGTGTGTGTGTGTGGCCAGCTCAGCCCACCAGGGGGCGCGGCTGGCTGGCATGTGGTGCTGGGGGATCGAACCGCGGTCCCTGGGCTTTTCCAAGCTTGTTCCAAATAGGTGCTTTAGACCACTGAGCCATCTCTCCAGCCCCCCCAATCTTCATTTATAAAATTAAAAATAAACCCGTACACTTCAAGCGTGTTTTGACCAATCTAATGAATATTTTGTGTTGACCTCATTGTGTGTTTAAAAAAAAACTGTTCCCCATAAAATTATTATGATCAGAATTTCAAAAAAAGAAATGGATCACTTAACACTTGCATTCACATTCTATGTAACTATCCCACAAGTCTGAGTCCAGGAATACTACCCAATTGAAGCTGAGTCCTGTACATAATTGAGGTAGAAATGAAAGGGAGAAAGGGAGGAGTTGACAAGTATGGTGTCTCCAGCACTCCTATCTGAGTCGGCTTCCTCAGTAGGATTCAAGCTAAGGCAGCTCTTGGTTGTCAGTGCAGCCTGCTGTCTCTCAGATGTCTTAGTCCAAGTTCTTTGCCACCCCAAAGCAACCTATGGAGCTGTTGGTTATGTCCACCTACTTTGGCTCTACAGATACCTTTTCAAGAAGGTACATATAAAAACAATGATCAGATTTAAAAGAAAATCAGTTATTGAGCTTTACTGATTAAAATCTTGAAGACATATTAGATTTGGTACTAAAGTACAAAACAGGGATTAATTGAAGGCAATCAGAAAGGGCAATGAAATGAACAAATATGTCCTCCCCACCCATTTCAGTGGGGTGAACATAGTCCATGGTGAGGTAGAGAGGGCGCATTGCACCTTTTTCTTGTGCATATCAAGCCAGCTTACAAGACGTATTTGAGGTTCAGTTATTCAAATTCAAATAAACTTGTAGCAAGTACCTTGGAATAGTTGAAGCAGTTTTACTTGCTCTGTTCTGTCACATCACGCAATAAGCACAGGCTATAATTACGTTTTTACTGGAATCATTGGGAGGCATTACACTGCCCCTGAGGGTATAAAGGTTCCTGTCTACAAAGGCTCCATCACACACTGGCATGTTTTGTAAACGCAGAGAAAGCAAAGGGGTAGCCAAAAGAGGCTTCGAATCCTGCTAAGCCAAACAAGAGGAGATAGAGATTTCTTACATAAAATATGGTACAGTCATTAGATACAGACCTTAGAGAAGTCACTCCATCAGCCAGAACATAAACTGCCTCAAGTCAGTCCATGGCAAAGGGATTTGTTTGCCTGGAGTTTAGGAAAGTGATAGAATTCAGAGCGTACCCCTAGTTCAACTTGTACGGCTATCTTTCCTTCAATCAGATAGTAATAACTGATATCAGGCTATAAAAAACAGGTAATGCTTCGGAGAACCCATGAACCAAGGACCTCTAAAAATTTTTGGATGAAAATTTGGATGTATAAGCTTTCCTACATAATATATTTCAGGAATGTTTCTATTTTCTTTCAATTTTGCCTAAAGAGTTTAGTGATACATTTTCACCAAATGTATTAGAATACACAAAATAATTCTCCCAAAAAATTCTGCACAGAAACTTAGACAATGTCCATACCTGTTTCTAGCACCCCTGTTGACAAGGGCTTTGGCACTGTTCGGTATGTGTCACTGCCTGGCCATGCTGAGGCAGGCGCTGTGGCCCAGGACATGCATGCACATCTGCCTGATTTTGTCCCCAGGTCCCATGGGAAGACCTCCGTTACCTCTTTGGTGAGATCATGTATGGGGGCCACATCACAGATGGCTGGGATCGCAGACTGTGCCGGGTGTATTTGGAAGAATTCATGAATCCATCTCTGGTAAGACATTTTTAAATTAATTCCACTGTGGAGAAAATTCTGGTAGGAATTGATGGACCTAATTTTACTACTCTGTGTGCTAACTCTTCATGCTTGTTGGCCTTCTGTGAGTGGGTTCCACTCTGTCTTCGCGGGAGTTTGGCAGTTTGTGATAAACGCAGGCCCTCAGGTGCCTTCCCGGATGTGCTGGAAGACAATGTGCATTTTCACCAGACCCTCAACTGGTGATTCATGCACATGTGTGACCATTCGAGGTGAGGTGCCCTATACACTGGCTTACAGGGGCAAGTCTCTGAGACACACAGGGCTGACACTGTTGCGCCACTGTACACACCAAAACACAGAGGCACAGTCCTAGCTCCTGGCCACTCTCCGAGAGCGGTGAGCCAGAACGTAAGCCTCTGACTGCAGTCCGAGTCCTCATTTCATGCTAGTTTTCTTACCTTCTACAGAAGTCACAGAATATTGTAAATTTTAGCCAATAAGACCTTGCTAAATAGGTGCTCAAGAAAAATGGGGTGAATAGGGCAGGTGAGATAGCTCAGCAGACTAAGTGCCTGCTTAGTCAAACATAGGCACTGGGGTTCGATCCTGGGCACGGCAGGCCACGTCATCCTCACCCCTGGGCATGCTGAGCTGGCCACCAAGACCTAGTATGGTGGTGCGCGCCTGTAATCCCAGCATGGGGAGGCTGAAAACAGGAGGATCACTATAAGTCCAAGCTATGTAGTGAGACCCTGTACCAAATACATACAAATAAAATAAAAATTTTTTAAATGAGGTGAATCAGTGCATGTTCTAATGGATTTTCTGCCTTGATTTAATCATTTCATAATGTAAATGTGTCAGAACATCTCATTGTACTCCATGAACATATATAATTAATATTTGTCAATTAAAATGAAATTAAAATCCAATGAGAATAATACAAATAATACTAAGTGCACTGTAAGGATTTTATTTGGATCTTTTATCAAACAGTTAAAAGCAGGATGACATATATGACACAAAGACAAATTAGCATTAATATATTATGGGAATGTGAAATTCCTGTTGACATCTTATGTATAATAACAAAAGAATACAGTTTTGTTTTGTTTTGTTTTGTTTTGTTTTGTTTTGTTTTAATGTGGGAGATTCAGCATGGCTGACTAGAGGAGGAGCCATGCTGGAGTTACTCAGAGAAAATCGACTAAGAACACAGGGAACTGAAAGAAAGGGAGAAACACACACCCTTCTGCTGAAAAGAAAGATGGTGACCTGAGAACCTGGTTCTTCCCGTGCTGTGAGAAAGGGATGGATCACCACTGTGCTGGTTCAGACTCCCAGAATCCTTTTCATTGTGTTAAGCCTATGTCTCTGGAGAAAACACTGACAACCAGAGCTCTTTTCTGGTAAAAGTTCTGTTCTTTTTTCTCACACTAAGAGCTGAGAGGCAGCCATGCTATGCTTCTATGAGCTGTCCAATGGTGCTCAGGTTCATAGCTGTTCCCAAGTTAGTTCTGGAAGACCTAGGCCACCTGGTTAGCTTTCTGTCACTGACAAAATATTTGAGAACTGAAGGGAGTATTTTGGCCCATGATTTCAGAAGTTTCAATCCATAGTCATCCCACCTGTGGCAAGGCAGTATACCATGGAGAGGGCAGCTGGGAGACCTGTTTACCCAGGAAGCAAAGAGAAGGGAGGAGGGGCCAAGGCCCCAGCAGCCCTTCAGGACCATACCAATAACCGCACTTCCACCATATACTGCCCCCCAAAGGATCTGGGCTCTCAAGCCATAGGCTTGCGGCCAAACTGTTAGGATGTGGCACTTTTCAACAAATGCCTGGAGCACAGCAGCACCCTATGCTGCACCATTCTATGGGGCAAGACACTACCTGTGCTTAGAGCAGCACTAGAGGATTTTTTAAGTTTGAGCAACTTCCTGCTTATAATTTCGGAAAACTTCACCTCAAGCATGGCATAGATGAGATCGCCTTCCTCTAGATTTTGAGTAATATAATCATGTATTGGAGGATACTAAAATCTCATAAAACTGAGTATAGATTTACTACTTTGAATAATATTAAACAATTCAGAAACAAGGCAGAAAACAAAATGATTTCCCTGCTATATGACCATTATCAAGTGGTTCTAATGAGCAGGATTTCACTTGTCAAAAAGATACTTTCTATTTAACACAATTGGAAGTCACGCCTCAGAAGAGGTCTAGGAGCAAGTTACCATGGAGATGGGAAAGCTAAACAGTGCCAGCAAATGACCTTTACAAAGGCTGATTTCTCCTGTGATGCTAGAGGTCAAGGGGCAGAGCAGGAAGCTCACACACATCTTCCCTCCCACGGCTCTGGCCCGGGCTAAGGGGGGATCACTGTTGCCAAACAAGACAGTCCATTAACCTTCACAAGTCTGAACTCCCATTCAAATAATTGTAAAATAAATATAGGTGATGCAACCTGCGGGGCATCACTGGTGTGTGTAAGCCCTTTAGAAACGTAGGTACCTGACCTTCCACACAGATCTGGTGAGATTTTCAGGATCAAAATGCTTCATTTGCAAGCTTGAGTCCTCAGTGGACAGTGCAACCTTCTCATCTCACCAAGGGAAATTAATGCACTTACTGACTCGTGTCACCGGCCGTAAATCTGTTACTTTGTTCCCCTGCAAGGATTTCTCCTCAGGCTGTTCAATAACACTTTGGCATCTGTAGGTTGTCTTTCTTGCCACTACTCACACTGCCTAATGTATTTGTAAATTAGTATCTGTGTTGCATTAGAATATGATCAATAGTTTGGGTTTAAAGTTCTGCTGCTATCAGAAGAACTGAAATGCTTCCAGTGGCGTCTGCCACGGGGAGATGGCGCTGGTGTGGGCAGACCTGGTGACATGGGCAGTACTAGAATTTTTATTCAGAGTAAGGACTAGCAAGGGACAGCAGGTGTGTTTCAATCCCTGGTACCGCATGCTCTGCCAGCCCTGGAATCCTGGGTGCTCAGCACAAGGCACCAAAACCAGGCGTGGTGGCACGTACCTGTAATCCTAGCACAAGGGGAGGCCGAGCTGTGTACGAAGACCCTGTACCAAGTAAACATTTTTTAAAAATGTCTTTTAAAAAAAGAATTAACCAACTTAAGAATGTGTCATGTCTGAACACAGGTCTAATGTTAAAAAATAATGCTTAATAATGAGAACACTATTTCCATTATGAAGTATAAAATTTCTAATATGTATTTTACAGTTGACTGTATATTTTTAGTATGTGATATAACAATGGAAACCATTTGTTAAACACCGGTGCTGTGTCAGGGGTCATTAACACATGTTGGATATATTATTTCTTCCTCTTACTACTGTCCTGCAAAGCATGTATTATCTCATTTAATCAAAAAAGCAGCTCAGGCTCAGGTCAAACAGTTGCTAAGCAGCAGAACTGGGATCTGAATATGCAAAGACTCTTTGACCAGTCTCCCCGTGTGCCATACTGCATTGGCAGGGGTGCTAGTCTACTTGTAGTCAGGGCATTGATCACAAAACACTGGGATTCTGAGCTCCCAGGGAGTGATGGCACCAAGAGCAAGGACAACCCGTAGGCCAGAGCTCTGGTCCTGCTATACACGTCCCGGCCAGCTTCGCCGCCGACCTCTGGGTACCTCAGCCTGCTCACACAATAAAATGAAAAGGTCATCTAGAAAACCACCAATGCATTTTAGGCTCCAAAGACAATATGATGATGCCATTCAACCTCAAGTCATTTCCAAAAATCCCAGCAGCACTTCCAGACCATGGTACTTTTGACCCAGAGGGCAAGGCCACATGTCCTTGTTTATACTCACAGCAACCTGGGACCGTTATGTCATTACCGAGATGACTTGGAGGGCAATAAAAGGGCAAAATTTTATTAAATGTCAGAAAAGGTGAAAAGAGCAACAATCCGATGGAGTCAGCATAGCAGGCAGAATGCTGGCTTCCCATTTCTAGTCATTGTGCCTGCCAGTGGCTTCTGCAGAGGTGACTTCGTAACCGTGGTGGTGTTTTCAGGATAGGGAAGCTGAGTCGGCCTAAAGATGAATCCCACTGATTTTTGTTTTATTAAGATGTAACTTGCTGACCATAAAATTTACTGATTGAAATTGCAGAAGTCAGTGTTTTTTGCACAATGGTGCAGCCATCGCCCTAACTTTAGAACATCGTCCTCATCCACTAAAATCTCTGCTCCCACTGAATCCCTCACCAGTTTCCTCTACCCTCCCGAACCACAGCGCTTTCCACTTGCCAGACTCTGGCAACCATTAATCTGTTTATCTCTGTAGATTTACCCATTCTGGACATTTTAGATAAATGAAATCATCTGATATGTAGCCATTGGTGTCAAATTTATTTTGTTTTCATGGGTTATAGATGCTGTAGCACATCAGAATTTCCTTCACTTTGATAATCTTCCTGCAATGATATACATTTTGTTTATTGGTAGCTTTAAGAGTCCTTCCTGTGGTGTGAGAGAGACGTGAGAGAGAAGTACAGAAATCCTTGATTGCTCAGCATGGGAGAGCTGCCCAAGAGAAGCAAGAACTCCCAGAGGGAGCTGGGAGTGGAGTTTTATCAGGATGGAATAGAGGTGGAGTTTACATCGAGGTCAGCTAAGGGGAAGACAATGGAAGTCAGGAGCAGCACAGCACACTGGCTCACTGCTGTGGTGACCCAGGAGACTACTGGCTGGGCACAGACCCATCAGCAGCCATTTTGGTTTTTTCTGGATTTTGGCTTTTTTTTTTTTCGTGGAACCAGGGATTGAACTCAGGCCCTTGCACTTGCCAGGGAAGCACTTATTCTACTGAGCCATCTCCCTGGCCGCTAGGGTTTTGGCTATTAAAACTAATGTTGGGGCTACATTTTGGATACAAATTTTGTGTGGACTTTGTTTTCAAAATTCTTTGGGAATGTGCCTGGAATGGATCAAATGGTAACTCTGTTCAGCATTTGGAGGAACCAGTGTGTTCCACCAGCAATGTATGAAGGTTCTGTTTCTTCCACATCCTCACCAATGCTGCTGCTGTGTACACTTTTTATTCTGGCTGTCTTGGAGTGGTGTCATGGTGGAGTTTAAATCTGAATGTTCCTAAAATGATGCTGAGCATCTTTTCATGTGAACATTGGCCACTGTGTTTCTTTTCTGGAGAAGGGTCCATTTAGAATAGATAATCTTTGAGATATTACAGCACCATCTTAAACAGCTCTCCCCCAAAGGCAAGAAAGGTGGCCACTCAGCACCCCACCAGCAAGTGGGAGGTCTCATAAAAGCCACTGAGTGAGAAGTAAGGTCTAGAGTCAGACAGGATTCACAGGCTTCCTGAAATCTTCCCTAAAAGAAATGCTGAAATCTTCCCTAAAAGAAAGAAGAATGCAAGTCTCTGCATGAACCAAACCTTGCTTTTCAAATGTTGTTTGACATCAAAGTAGGAATTCTTTCACAGGTTTTTTTCTTTCAGAACATCAAGATGCACTTTATAACAATGTCTGTACGTAAGACACAGCAAGACCATGTGTAGAAGCCTGCTTGGGGTCTAGCAGCTAGGTACCTAAGTAAATTCTCACAGCTACAATCATTAAGCCACTATTATGAGCCCCATTTTACTGATAAGGCTGAAACAAAGGTAGACTGTCATCTCGTACAGCCACCAACCCCCTGGGGATGGGCCCTGAGCCAGGCCTGCCTGCTACAAGTCTGCAGGCCTTTCCTTTGACTTTGGCGCTGCTTCGCTTTGCTCATCACCTGGCACAGAGAAGGCCCTCCATAAGCACACTGCCTCATTGTCTTTCATTTGGAGTCCCACCAGCATTGAGTACGCACTCAAAATCCAGTTCCTGTGGCACTTTAATTTTTCCAAATGACTCCAGTTTTGGTTAGAGTTTTTCTTTTTTTTTGGTAGGGGGAGGAGGCATTTTGTTTTGAGACAAGTTCTTGCTATATAGTCCAGTCTTGCTTTGAATTCATTATGCAAGTTGGTCCAACAGTTGCGGATTGAATTCATTATGCAGCCCAAGCTGGCCTCAAACTCATGGCTATCCATCCTCCTGCCTCAGCCTCTCAAGTGCTGGGATTACAGGTGTGCACCACCATGCCTGGCTAAGTCTGGGTTAGTTTCCTTGAAATTTTGTTTTGAAGGATGAATTAACTGCCACCTTTCAAAATGTCCAGTGACCTAATGAGCACTAACAGAGGAGACCAAGTGCTTGTTGTAGAAAATAAAGTTCAACTTGTGTTTATTCTGATTTGGGTTCTTAAAATGCTATTTTTGCTAAGCAAAAATGGGTTTAATTTTCCTTACAATCTTCTTTGGGTCACTCTGAGTCAAATGACATTTCAGTTTCCATTATTCTTATTTATCAGAAGTGACAACAATGTGAACAGATGATCAGAGCCAAGCCTGGCAACAGGTGATGGGAAAGCCTCCCTCGTTTCTTCCCATTTCACTGGGTTAAGATCTGTTTCTGGTAGACCGAAGGATTATATAATGAAAAAAACTCTCCTGGTATAAAGTAAATGGAGACAAACATGCAGATTTAAATATTAATAATGCCCTTAGAATTCACAGACAGTAACTGAGCACTGTTAAGGAACAAGCCAACATCGTTCACAGATCCATGACCAATTCTGTAGAAAACCACATTTAATTTGTCTCCTTGACAGTCTTAAGTTCACTAGGAGCTAGGTCATATGAGCCTTTCCTGCTTCCATGGTTTGCTCTATGGCACTAAGTAAACAGTGCGTATTATTGAGTGGACTAACAAACACTCGCTGTCTCCAAGTGACAGTGAGGGGACACAGCACAGATCACATGGCCACAGACAAATCTCGCTTTCAGAAACTGACTTAGGAAATCTAGGCAGAAAATAACTATATGAAGTGATAATTAAAGAGCATCCTTCTATATATTTATGTGCAAATATACACAGAACTTACAGCACCTCTGAGAAAACTGAAGCTGAGAGGTTACCTGCCCCAAGAACAGCGCAATTGGAAGAAAATCTCAGAGTATGCTAAATTTACTAGCCGTGTTTATGGCTGCAGAGACCCAGGCCTGTAAGGTTTTTGGTGACGTGTTGAAGACGTGCATTCTGACTGAGGGTTTGGTGGTGCTCACATCTGTTCAAAGCATGGCTCTGTACAGAATGTCTGCCCATCTCCAAGGGCAATAAAGAAATAGGTGACCACGGAAAAGGCCACGTGTCTGGAGTCTTCCATTCACCAGGCAGCTGCGTACTGAGCAGCAGCAGGTGCCAGCCCCAGCCCACCGTCTGTGGATCTAGAGAGGACCACTGCCAGCCTTTGCCCTGAACAGCCCACAGTCCTCGGGAGGCAGCAGCAACCTGCCTCTCACTCTCTGTGGTAGCCTATGAAATGAGACTTACTTAACAACCACATATTTTTCAGTAGTTACTTGTAACACTCGTGTCATACATAAAATGACTCAAAGCAGTAGTGGCAAGTATGGTTCACAAGGAGAAGAAAGTATAGACTACAAACAGGTTTGTACTACACTGAGTTCAACATTAAGATGAAAATCAAACATCTGCCTAGGCAGCGAATGTCCATCCTCATTTTCTCCCTGGGAAATGGGGGTGTTTGAATCAGTGGGTAGAAGCAGAATGACCATTAGGCAGTGCGAGCACACTCCTCTCATTCCTCATGTATCACATGGCTCCCAGCTTTCTTAGGACAGGATTCAGGTCCATCCCTGTAGCTCTCTCCAGCCAACAGCCTCAAAGTGTACACAGGGAAGCGTCAGATCCTACTGCTTGTCTAGCATGATGCTGGGACCTTCTTGCCAGTTCTCAAGGGTGTTTAGGCAGCCAGGAGTGACTCCAACCTAGTTTTGGAAAAAAATGCCATTCCCTCTGTGGTTACAGATTGAAGACGAGCTCATGCTGGCACCAGGCTTCGCAGCCCCTCCCTACCTGGATTACTCAGGCTATCACCAGTACATAGAGGAGATGCTGCCTCCAGAGAGCCCCACACTGTACGGCCTCCACCCTAATGCTGAGATCGAGTTCCTGACAGTGACGTCCACCACTCTCTTCAGAACTCTGCTGGAGATGCAGCCCAGGAGCGCACTCAGCAGTGATGAGCTAGGGCAGTCTACAGAAGACAAGGTAGTCTCTTCTTTTGTTAAATTAAGACCTCTAAACAGCGTTAATCATAAATGTAGAATTCAATGAATTTTGACCTCTGTATGTGCTCAACCACCATGTGCACACCAAATACGAAGCATTCTCAACAGTCAAGGCTATTCATGCTCATTAGCAGGGAGGCTGCCTCTGCACTTCCTAGAGGTCACCGACATCCTTGGCACTACACTCATGGGTTAGGCTTATCTTTAAATACATGGAATCATGCAGTATATATTTGTTTCTATCAGGCATCTAACTCTACCTTTGTATGATTCATACATGTTCATATATCAATTGTTTACTTTTGCTTCGTATTTGTGTGAATGTACATTTAACCACTCTACTATGGATGAATTCTGAACTGTTTCTAGTCTTTCCACTAAAGTCATGAACAGTCTTAGTCCTCTGCTGACAGGTGCTCCTCATAATACTCATTTCTCCACCCCCTGCAGTGTGACTGCCAGATCCAGGATGTAATGTTTAGCTTCAACTGTACTGTTTTCTCAAGTTACTTACCAGCTAGAATCCCACTAGCAGCACGGGCAAGTTCAAGCTGTACTACCTCCTTGAAGTTTTGCTAAGGATCATGCCATCGTAGTGGTCTTAATTTTGCATTCCTCAGTTGAGGAAGATACTGAACATCTTTTGAAATGCATGATCACTGGAAATACTGTCATGTGAAGTACATCTTGCTCAGGCGATTTTTGAGTTGTCAATCTTTTTTCTTATAAATTTATAATATTCTGGATTTTTTTTATCATATATATGAACTTCAAGTATCTTCTCCAAATCTGTGGCTAGGCTGTCCTCTCTTAATGTGTTTTGGCTTGGTTATTTATTATGGTGTCTTTTTCAATTGTCTCAGAAGACTGGCATCTGTCTTTGAAATATTTTATTATCCTAGAACAGAAGAATAGTTACGGCACATGTGCTGTAACAGCGCACGCACACACACACACACCCCAGTATGCTTCAGTTTCCTAGTTATCCAGGTAACAGTTCCTATTCCAGTTGCTTCTAAGAACCAATCCTCAGGGATAGGGATATAGCTCAGCAGCATAAGCACCTGCCTGGCAAGTGCAAAGTCCTGAGTTTGATCCCTAGTACCGCAAAAATCAAACAAAAAAGAATCAATCCCCAACTGGCAAGCCATTCTTCCTTTACTTCCTGCTTACTTATCCCACATCAGCCCTAGACCAACAGAAGTCAGGGCCTGATATTTTGGGAATGATCCAGGGATGTAAATCAATTGGCCCCCAGTCCTGGGTGTCACTTCGTTGCTTCTGTTTGGTGCAGCAGTGCCACTGTGAGTTGTTTATTGTCACTGGAACTCTAAAAGGTTTGCCATCGCTGCCCTAGAATGATGGGAATGAGAAATGACCTTTTTTACCTTTAGATAAAAATTGTTTCTCGTTTGAAACCTGAGTAGCTGATTTTAAATTAACACTTCTTTCAAAATTATTAATCAGGATTCAATTGACAAAGATTCAGATTAAATGGAACTCACTAAACATCAGATCTAATTATGTAGTCTCAGGAATTTCTCATATTTCTTAAGCTTTTCAATTATTTCCTGAAATAGGTAATTCAGCAAGGCTTATTGCCATTTAGAGGCCTTAGAATCTGTTGTAGCATTTTATCCTTTTACTAGCATCTTTTCTAGAAAAATGGTCCATTTTTAATAAGATTCTCAAGGAAAAGTGCATCCTTTGGATGAACAGCTGAATGATGAATAATGAATGATGAATAATGTCAGAGAAGCAGCAGTAGATGATGGACATCCATGTCTAGTTTCTGTACTTGTAGCTTTCCAACCAAGCTGGTCATTACACCAGAAAATGCTGAGCACTTGAGGTAAAGATGGCTCAACCCCCAAAACGTAGACTGTAACCAAGGCCATACAGTAGCTAGGAATTATTAACACTATTTTACAGATAGCCCTTTAATACACAAGAGCGCTCACTAGCAGTCGCTATTTCAGAAGCAACTTCAGCTTATTTGCAAGGCAGGACAGCTAGAAAGGACCAGTGGGTAATTCTACAAGCCATTCCATTACCCAGCCATAGTACTGTACTGTCTCATACTAGCTCTAGCAGTGCAGTAAGAATTTGCGATTTCAAGACCTGACAAATTGGCTCCAGAATGCTACAGCTACTTGCAAGAGGGATGTCAGTGTCACTAACAGTAATCTGAGAGAGCAAGAAAGAGAGAAAGCCTCCTGAGGTGAGCCGGCAGTGCTTTTCAAGTATTTGCTTTTTAGGTATTTATTGCTTTTCCCAGCTCAGTGAAGCTCATAGAACATGCATATGGGTGATATGTGCCGATTCACATCTTCAATGATGAATCTTTCACTTCTTCAGGGCAACAACTGTAGAAGAGAAAAGCTTCTATATTGTTGAAAGATGTTGATCCAAATGACCCAAGGCTATTCTGGTTAGAAGGGCAGCATCAGTTAACAGAATTAAATGCTTTAAAGGGCCTCTTTGACCCATGTGACTTTTAAGAAGACCTTATCCCTTAGGAGGCCACGATCTCAAAAAATGAGTATCCAAGTGACATTCACTGATAATATGTGCTGAAACTTTAAAAACTTTAAAACACTGCAGATCTGCTCTTATTTACATAATAAAATGCATGATTATTTTGTTACAATCTATAAACTAAAGAAACATTACAATGTTTACCAGAGTTCACCTCTCTCTTGGACACTGCATTAATGAATATCATATGCCCTTACAAAATACCTGATACATAACCACACTGATGGTTTAAGCATCATGGCTTAACACCAGTCACATGCAAACATAGCTACTCAAGGCCTCGAACCTATGCATCTGATATGTGTAACAATATTTAGAAAGAGTCTGCTCAGCTGTCAGGGTTGAGAGCTCCTAAGGTTCCCCAAATAATGGAGTTCTAGTCCTTCTGATCAAATCTTCACATACAAAGGGCAAGTGGTTGATAACTAGTTTTATACCCCTGAAGGCTAGTGAGGGACACTGTGAATAATCAGTAGTCTCCTTGACTGCATTTTGGAACCTAAAACAACATGGCTGAAACTGATGCAGAAACACTTGATGAGGCTGTGCTACTCAGCCCACCTACAAGGGTAGCAGGCATCTTTAAAATATATTGATAGCCAGATGTAGTGACACATGCCTGTAATCCCAGCTCTTCAGGAGACTAAAGCAGGCCAGTTGTTAAATGTGGGGCAAGCCGAATTGATCAAGATCCTATCCTATAAAGAGGCTGTGTTTGATATTCAGACAGATAGTGAGGTTAAGCTCAACTGCCTATGTTGTAGGGTAATAATAATAAGCTTCTCTTCTGGAGGGTTAACAACCCAAGTTTGCAAACCAAAAATTAGAGAAAAAGAAAGGCTGCAAGGACAGCCTACATTTTGGCCCTAGCCTTTCAAGGTCAGTGAGAACTCAGCACATAAGAGAACCTGTACTGTAACATCATGTAACTCAGTTGTGCCCCAAATTTTCTGATCAAGGAGATTATGAGGCCACAGAGGAAAATGACTGATGATGTACTGTGCCTAAGGAGAGTCACATGGAGAGAAAACATTCACTCAGGCTTTCACAGACAGCAAACTGGTCAAGCAATGGCTGTGACTCATCCACATGGCTGACACTGACAAAGGATCTACAAACGGCAGTACAGGGTTTCAGGACAAATCCTGAGGGGATCTGACTGACCTTGGCAGATATAAAAGCTACATTTCTTGTTATATAGGTCCTGCTTTATCTCGGGCTTAACCATCCAGCAGAAAAGTATAAAAAGTAAAGCCATATTAATATGCAGAGCTGTAAAAGGCTCAAGTCAACGACTTCTGACATTGCCAGTCCTACGGAAAACCCACTACTATTACGGACTTCTGGACTACATTGGAATATTTTGCTGAATTCACACACCTACAATATTTAAATGACAACGGGATACCATTCTCTAACAAAACTAAACAAAAAAAGGGGATACAAATGAAGGACCATTTTGTATCTGTATATACAAAATAGGATATACAGCTACTTTCTCTTAATTCAATGAATAGACAGATTTGTTCTAATAGTATTTGTGGACAGGATATCATGTCTGCATCTTGTACTATGAATAACCACTAAAAAGACAACATTATGCAATGTATTAATTATTGAAACTGTCCTACTAATCGGTTTTGAAACTGTCTCGTTTCTCAATAGAATTTTTTTTTTTTTTCTGGTTTTAAAATAATTTCATAGGTCTGTTTAAATTTCATGTCTCAGAGCATACATTATTTAACCAAGAGGTGCTGAACAGAGATTGTAAAAAGGGAGGAAACATTTAGGATAAGAAACCAGCTCAATTCCGTAAGAATTTGATCCTACTTTGTAAAGTTTTACTAGGATAAATTTCTATCATACTTCTTTTGTGCTTACAAAAAACATTAACTTCTGAATTTCCAATGTTGTAAATAAAATTTTTACAATTAAGTATGCATTCAATTGACATACAAGGCAACCAATAAACTTCAATAGAATTATTTTAAAAAATTAAAATTAAAAAATAAAGAGGCTGGTAATATAGCTTTGCATTCCGTGGGCTCAATTCCCACCAAAAATTGTAAAATGTATTTAAAGAGATCTTTGCAAATTGGATGATGGACTGAGACTTGAAGAAGCAAAATGTCTGTCACCATTAACAAGACTGAATAGGAGATAAAGTTTTGTGTTAATGATTTAAGGTTAAGAATGTCTTGGATGACATTTTGGAGAAACTTCCAGAAGAGTTCAACATGGCAGAAATAATGCAAAAGACCTCAAATAGGAGCCCATATGTTCTTGTTTGTTTCCAAGAATGTGAGAGGATGAACATTCTCATTCGGGAAATTCGTGTGTCACTGCAACAACTGGACCTTGGATTAAAGGTAAACTTGAAGTGGGACTAGACAGGGCTTCACCGTATTGGCAGATAGTCACCGTGTGGTCTTTTTTCTCCATGCAAGGGGGAGCTGACGGTGTCTCCTGACGTGGAGGCCCAGCAGTCGGCACTGAGTTACGACAGGGTTCCCTGCACCTGGAGCAAGCTGGCTTACCCATCTACTTACGGCCTTGCTCAATGGTAAGCTACATCTTCCTGCTGCCAAGGCCATTAGTGCTGGTGCTGGGTTAGCATTTTATATCATGTTTCTTAAGAATCCCAGAAATGAGTGCTTGCCTGGCAAATGCAAGGGCCTGAGTTCAATCCCTAATTCCGCAAAAAAAAATTTTTTTAAATCCCAGAAATGGACTGACCAGCCACCAGACAGACACTACTACCCATTTCTCATGTCAAAGGCAAAAATGATATATGTGGGTTGGCAAGGTAGCCTAGCGGACTAAGTGCCTGCTTAGGCAAGCACAGGAACCAGGTTTCGATCCCTGATACCATACATTCAACACCAGCCCTGTCCCCATCCCCAGGCGCCCTGAGCTTGTGACACAGTCTGGCATGGTGATACACACCTGTAATCCCAACAATGGGGGGGGCTGAAAACAGGAGGATCACTAGGAGTCCAACCTGCATAGTGAGACCTTGTACCAAATAAATTGAAAAAAATAAAAAAGATACGTGTGTATCAAAGGCAAAAATCCACTCAAAGCCAGGCTCAGAGCAAAATTCAAATTCACTTAAGTATTTGTTTGGGACAAAATACACTATGTCTCAGTTTTTCATCTGAAAAAACATAGATAACAATAAAATTTCCTGAAGTTGCAAGATTTGGATGGCTGTGGAAGGCCACTTCGCTTGCCCTCCCGTTACCTTGGATCCTTTGTTTTCTAAGCTCAGGGTACAGATACCATCTCACAGAGCACAGAATTTCTCATGCTCTGCACATCTGTAATCTGACTGTACACCAACAAACCACAGATTTATACAATTTCCCACTATTGTTATGCTTTTCTTTTTCATGGTCCCCAGCCCTTTTTTCTGACTTGGTTTTAGTTTCCTTTGATTTAGCTTCACTCATTCCTGTTACTTTATTATTACTTTTTAATTTGTGTGTGTGGCCAGCTCAGCCAACCAGGGGGCGGGGCTGGCTGGCATGTGGTGCTGGGGGATTGAACCGCGGTCCATGTGCTTTGCTAAACTTGTACTAAGTAGGTGCTTTAGACCACTGAGCCATCTCACCAGCCCATTCCTGTTACTTTAATAGAGACCTTTCTATAGTAACATCACTTTCTTTTTTAATCTTTTATTTGGTACAGGGTGGTCTTGCTATGCAGTTCAGACTCATCGTGATCTTCCTGTCTCAGCCTCCCCAGGGAGGGATTATAGGCATGCACCACCATGCCCCATTTCAGTGGCTAGCACGGCATGAGGTACTGGAGATGAAGTTCGGGTCCTTGCGCTTTGCAGACAGACATTTAAGACTGCTCAACTATCTTACCAGCCCCAGTGCATCAACTTTTCTTACACAATATAAACATTTTTTCCCCTGGGAACCTGCAGCTTCTCTGAACATCAGTCACCTGCTAATGTGATTTTATACAACATTTCTGCTTATAGTGGTAATCATTTTCATTTTTGCACATCAGCGTTGCTCAGCATACCTTGTTCTGAGCTCCCTTTTCCTGCAGTACAAGCCACATGGTGCCGGGGAGGGGAGATGGCTGGTTTGCATCCATTTTCCCCAAGATGGCCTCAGACTTCTGGGAAACTACAGGGCACATGACTCCTTTCTCTGGTGATAGACCCCATCCTCTTTTTCCTAGCACTGATTAAATGTATTTGTCATTCCTTTATAATTTTCTCTTTACCCCTAAGGTCCTACAAGTTTACTACCATGTCTGGTTGTGTATTTTTAAAAATGTATACTGCTTGGTACTTGTGCTGTTACAATAGATGAGGTTCACCTGTAGCTTCCATTGTTTCAAGTTTCTTAGCCCTTAGGTATCTGAGTATTTTGCTTTTCCATTTTCTTCAATCTCTTGATCCAAGCTATTTTACTGTGTTTCTGTAGTATTTCAGTTGATTGAGTCAGTTCCAGGTGATTTTCATTCTGTCTGCAGAGATAATGAAAAAAGATCTCTGTCTTCCCTAGAATTGTCTTTTTTTCCCCAGTATTCCTATTTCCTGAAAACTTCCTATTTGTTGGATTTGCTCATGGAATTCAGAAGATAGTTTGGCTGGTTCTGATTTTCTTCTCACACGCAGCTGGGAGACTTGGCAAGCCTCACTGTCCAATCCAGGGCTACTGCAGATGCTGGAGGACAGTACAACCTCTGCCCTCTTTAAGTAGCATCATGTTTTCCTCCTGTTACCCAAAGAATTGGTCATATTTGTAATCCCTATAATTAAGGTACTTATTAGTATTATCTAATCCAATTTTTGTAGTAATATTCTAGTAATGTCACTGTACAGATTGAAATTTATGAATTAAGGAAACTGAAGCGTTTTTAGAATTACTATTTCAACCCTCATCTATTTTCTACCTGTTTGCCTTTTATTTCCTCCACTGGATTTTGCTCTTTTACTTTTATCTCTATAACCTATTTTTCCTCCTTTCCTGGGATTGTCCAAGTTAATCTCCTTTTGCTGTTCCTAAATCATAATCTTATTTATATAAGCAGTCAGTTTTAAAAAAATTGTCTGGCTGCCCTTTAACCTATGAATCTTTTTCTTCCACTGTTTTTCCTGCTCATTCCATTTGTCTTTGTGTAGAACCTTGCTCCTTTTTATACTAGTTTTACTAAACCAGCTATAAGAATTTTAATGCGGAGCAGGGCCCAAGGCCCATATGTTCCAAGCTAGCAGACATAAACACTGTCTTTCCTTCTTCGTAGCCTGCCATCAGGCAGACACCCCTGCCACACTGCTCTGTGGAGGGAGATTCCACATGCAGCCTTGCTTTCTCTCCATCTGGGAGCCAGACAAGCTCTCCTGCAGTGCCAGGGCTAGGCCTCTCCTCCTGCTGATGTCACTGCACTGAGCAGCATTTGTTCTAGGTGTGCCCCACTCCACCCCTTCAGCAGCCCTTGAAACCTCTTCAAGGCATGAAGCATTCCCGAGTTTTATCAAGGCTCCTGTGTTCTTAGCTTCACAAGCTAGGTAACACCTAGGAGTGGCGCACCACTTGCACAACTCCACGGATGAGATCCTCTTTGGTCACCTGTACCTTCCTCTCCAGGTAATCGCTACATGCAGGACCTCGCCTTGCACTCTTTTTTCTGCTGTCCCCTCTGGCAGCTCTGTCTTGGCAAAGCCCACCTCCCTGTCATCAGGCATGAGCCTTCCCTGGTGTCCTCTCCTCATTCTGCAAGCACCTCCTGTTGGGTCTTGTGAGTGCAGAGCACACTGAGGTGACTTGTAACACACCACCACATGATGCTGGGAGGAGCTTCATAAAAGGGGTAAATGCGGGGAGCCTGCCCCTTAGCTCAATTCTTTAAGTGGCTACTTCAACAAAGCAGTCAGGCTCAGGTTGCTGTGGTTCGATCCCCACAACACAAGCCAGCCAGTCATGCCTTGAAGGCATTCGGGGCAAAAAACAAAACAAAACAAAAAAAAAAAACACTTCTGCCATTTGGGGGCCAGGGAGATGGCTCAGTAGAATAAGTGCTTGCCTGGCAAGCACAAGGGCCTGAGTTCAATCCCCGGTTCTGCAAAAAAAAAAAAAAAAAAAAAAGGGGGGGGTAAATGCACAATTTCCCATTCTTCATTCTTCCTGCCCCTACTGGGGACAGTTCAGGTATTGAGTCTCCACAGGAAACCCCTCCTCTGAAGGGAGAGCCCTGCAGATCACTAGGGAAGGACTTTACTGCCGTCACTAGTGAGGGTCCCTGTCTTCTGAAGTGTACTGGAAGGCATCTGTTTTACTAAAAATCTTTTTTTTCTGCCTTGTACCAACCAGGTTTAATGACCTCCTCTTGCGCTGCAGAGAACTGGACACTTGGACCCAAGACCTAGCCCTTCCAGCTGTGGTGTGGCTTTCCGGCTTCTTCAACCCTCAGTCCTTCTTAACTGGTAAGGGTGGAGAGGGGCTGCCTGGACACCCTGGGACCCCAGCAGTACTGCTTGCTTTGCTCCCTGCCCTGCTCAGCAATGTTCCTGCAGCAGCCATTACACAGGCTGCAAGAGTACCAGTGGCATCCACAGTGGAGACAAAGCTGCACCAGAGTCTGCAGAAGCAGTGCAAAAGCAAGCAGACAGAACAGAAGCAAATCGCTGTTCAGTACAGCCTGATACTAAATTAGGTTTAAGCGGCCTCAGTTTGCCATGCTCTACCCTGTAGCACCCCCACGCAAAATCCCCAGGACCCTACAATTTCCCATGGCAACTCAGAGCACCTCAGCCTACTGGTGGCTCCCGAGCCGTTGACATGCAGCTTTTTGATCTCCTGTTCCTTCTCCCACAGCAATCATGCAGACTGTGGCTCGGAAAAACGAGTGGCCACTGGACACAATGTGCCTGACTGTGGAAGTTACCAAAAAAGTGAAGGAAGATTACAGCCACGCCCCCAGGGAGGGTGCCTATCTCCATGGGCTCCGAATGGAAGGTGAGCCACTTGGAGGGCCTCTCCTGCAAGGTCCGAGATGGCCTTGGCCCTTGTTTCTCAGGGCCTACTCACTTACACAGTGGTTTCATACTAGGGGAAGCACCCTATTTCCCTTCCAACAATGTAAGTGCCAAAGTGTGCGTTGGGTGGGAGTCACTGGACTACCTGGCTGCCTCTCACTGCATACACATATCGGGTGTTAATGCCCCGCAGGGCAACTCCACACCTACCCCATGCTGCTTTTCAATATAATGCTGTTGGTAAACTGGCTCCAATTTTCATTACCAGACCTTTTAAGGTGCCCTTTTGCATTGCTCATCTCTAAGAGAATTAGACCCCAGATTTTCCAAATTTATTTGCCTGTACATTATTTTCCAGGACATCTAGTCCTTGCCAGGATGTGTCTCAATTCAGATACTGCAGGGCAGGGTCGGAGATTCAAAAAACTTGTTCTAAGACAGAACAATTATGCTTCTTAAGGGGTGATGAACTTCCTTTCATGTGTCTGGCTAAATTATAGACAAATATCATTGCTCCGTGTATATAGATAAGGTGACCTCTCTCAAATCTCAGGCATGGGCCAGCAAGGTCACGATGCCACAGACAAGAAGAGAGATAAAATCAGAATGTTTATTGCCTCAGTTATAAAATCAGTCTGAACAGACTACACAGTTGGCAACGGCTGTTTCTGCCATAGGTGCCCGATGGGACATCCAGTCCGGAACTATCGTTGAAGCCCACCTCAAGGAGCTGACGTCCACGATGCCGGTCATCTTTGCCAAAGCCATACCCATGGACAGACAAGAAACCAAACACACCTATGAATGCCCTGTATACAAAAACAAAACGAGGGGCCCCACCTACATCTGGACCTTCAGGCTGAGGAGCAGAGAGAAGACGGCCAAGTGGGTGCTGGCAGGGGTGGCTCTGTTGCTGGAGGCCTAAGGCAGCCCTCGGACTGGGACTTAGGTTGCTCCCGCAGCGCACAGTAAGAATTTCCTATCATGTCACACCATTCCTATTAATTTATGGTACATAAGGGCATAAAACATTCTAGTTTATGTAATTTTTTAGTAACTTACACAGGCATTCAGTTTTTAAAAGTAACAGTGGAGAATGGGACAGAAAGAAGCAAATACAGAAGATAATACTAGACACCTGTTCAGGAAGTATGTTCATTGATTGTAGCTTTCATTGATTGTAACCTAGAGTTCCTCTAGGAAATCCCATCTCAACACAAAAATATACTATCTCTCACATTTTCACCAAGATTCCACTGAATCTCAAAAACCGAGCAGCCTGAAGGAAGGGAAATTTTAGTTCTTATGGATAGTAAACATCAAAATCTTTTTAAATTAAAACTTAGCCCTTAAATTCTTTCAAACTAGAAGCAGCAGGCTCCAGGCAAGTCATGAAGGGAAAGATAGGCCCTCCCAGGCCTCCAGTGTGTATAACATGACAGTCCACTTTTGTTTAAATAAAAACAAAACTCTTAACTCTCATGTCATGTGGTTAATTGCACTTTGTAAATCAGGGAACATTCTTCAGCATAAGTGACCCATAGCAGGATAAACTACATGGCTGGAGACAAACACACAGGATACCACAAACTAGAGGTAATGATGCCAGTAACATGGCATAGCATGGTTGGTAAGTGAAAGGTAATTTAACCACGGCAAAGGAAAGCGTTGCTTATACAAGGTCTTCTTGGTAACTTACCTGAACTCTAACTACACCCCACTTAAACTGTGCTGCTTTCTAAATCATACTTAGAACAATGCAGTGTATATATGGATATAGATTCCTCTATTTTCCTGAAAAATCTTTTTAAGCATATACACAATTTTTTAAAAATAATATTCAGAAACAGTCAACTCTACAAAGAATTTCAGTATAAAAATACAGCTTTTCGAAGTCTTAGGCACAAATGGTATACATGTCTTCTTGGAGCGGTCAGAATTGGCCTCTTCTTTTTCCTCTCACTTGTCCTTTACCAACTGCTTCTGCAAACTGAGAAAAAGATGAGAAGTAGCTCATAAGGAGTTAATCAGCTGGAGGTAAAGAACCAAAAGCCAAGAATACCAGCCCCTACCTGCTGCCCCTCAACGCTCTGGCTCCTATCATGGACACACCTGGATACCATGTGTCCCAAGGGCAACAGCCCACTTGTATACTCCAATACCAAGCTTCAGAGTTCCTTGCCGCCATGGCACTTGCAGTCCACAACTCTGTGTCCTCGCCCCAATGCACAGAACCTGAGATCGCCTCTGTTCAGAGATGTCACTCTGGCTGCCTCGGGCTCTGGGCAGCCCACCTCAGCTGGCCCTGTCTGTCTTCCATTTCTCGTAACAGGACGTTTCAGTATGGAGGCAATTTCCCAATAGGGAAAGGCACACTCCTGAGCCTCTTCAAAGCAACAGACACAGAAGGGATGGCCCTGGAGGTGCTTTCTATAGTCAGCCATGCAAGACAGCAGCAACTGCTTGCTAGAGGATCTTCCAGAACAGATCACACCGCCCTCTGCAATTGCTGGAGACTCACCTCTCCAGGTATTCCTTAACATTATCATAGCCATAAAACTTGGCTAGATGAATGAGGATCCCTGTGGCACAGCGGCCGTCACGTCTCCGACAGTA